AAAAAAAAAAATATATATATATATATATATATATATATACTCTTTCATTGCATGAAAAAGCCAAATTCCTATACTATAAAACAGATTCAAATAAGGGTGGTGGCATATGTCTGTAATCAGCACTCTGGAGGCTGAAGCAGGAGGATTGCTGTGAGTTCAAGGCCAACCTGAACTACATAGGGAGACCTTGTATCCAAAAATAAATTCAAATATTAAATAGAAGCAAAATTGAAAGAAGTTTTTGCTTCTTTTAACTACTTGAATTTGATATATATCCTTTCTCACCATTTATTCTCCATGTATATGTACATATAGGTGGTACGGATGGAGCACACCTGTGTAAAGGTTTTAGAGGGGTTTGGTTTTGGTTTTTTTGAGACAGGGTCTCACTGTGTAGTTCAGGCTGGCCCTGAACTCATTATGTAGCCCAGGCTGGCCTCAAGGTCATGGAGATCCTCCTGCCTCAGCCTCCTGAGTACTGGGATTACAGGCATGCACCACCATGCCTGGCTCAGAGGGTTGGTTTTTTTTTAGTTTTTGCTTGAAATATAAATGAAGTCACGATATGTGTTATGATGGACCTGCCTTTTTTCCCAATTCTGTATTCTGAATCCTTTGATGCATGGATGTAGACATACACATGTTCCTTCTTAGTAGCTGTGTGGTTTGTTTTCCTTATTGACAGTTTAGATTATTTCTGATTTCTTTCTATAATAAATGTTTCAGTGAACACCTTTGTACATTTCTGCAAGATGAATTCTAAATGTTTCTCCCTGTGTATTTTAGATTGAAACTCCCATGATGAACATCATCCCAGGGGGAGCTGTGGCCAAGCCTTTCATCACGTACCACAACGAGCTGGATATGAACTTATACATGAGAATTGCTCCAGAACTCTACCATAAGGTAGTCAATAAAGACACCCATTTCCTTAGACAAGGAGAAACCTGGGAAATCTTTGACCACACAAGTACAATCAGAAATGAGGGCCAGGGATTTAGCTCAGTGGATTCGCTGCCTGCTGCGCAAGTGCAAGGACCTGAGTTTGATCCCTGGTACCAAAAAAAAAAAGAGAGAGAAATAAGAGGAACATTAAGGATAAAACAGCCAGGAGAGTGTTCAGATTTCTCAGATTTGTAAGTGTAACACTTAAGTATACGTGCTACCGAAGCGAGCACTGTAAGTGTAACACTTTAGAAATTTCTCTATAAGATCAGTAGAGCATTTGCAGAGCAGGGGGCAAAAGGAAAAGTGATTATTTTTTCCAGGTGTACAGATATGCCTAACCTACTTTAGTTCCCCTAAAGTTTTTAAGTTTATAATCTTCCTTGAGTAAAATCAGATTTTAGTCTCTTGTAGAAGAAAGAATAGTCTCTCTCTGGAAGTTGGAAATAAGTTTCTTCAAATCACCAGCTTAAATATCAGAGACATCAGGATTCTCAGTTATAGGCAGCAGAACCTGTTGTAACTAATTAAAGCAAAAGGAAATTTTATTTAGCTGTGTAAGAAGGCTTGTGGTCTGAAAGATCAAGGAGTCATGCTTGGAAAGCACACAACTAGGAATGGTGTTGAATCATATCGCCGGACTGATCTCATGAAGAATGGAGTGTCTTTTCTATTAGGCACCCATTAGGATTTCTACAACTGCTATCTCTAAGAGCTGTGATCCACTTTACCAGAATGAATTCTGTGCAGTCCCTACACCTTCCTTTAGTACCTTCGCTATTGACGTCTCACCAGTGCATCTGATTGGTAGAGTGTGGTCACTAATGTGTGGGCTAATCCTACAAGAAATTTCTTTCAAGAGGCTCAGGCTGGCTAGGCAGGTGATGCCCAGGACATAGGAATAGTACTGAGATGATCTGGGAAGCCAAAAAAGAATGAAAACTGACTACTGCAAGGGTCTAAAGAGAATGGGGTACTAGGCCTTTTGAATAGAGAGTATACGTGAGCTGTAAAAACCAGTTAGGAGATGGACAGTTTCCAGGGATGTTAAGAGAAATTAGTTTCCATGCCCCTCACCTTGCATTGTATTATTGCTAGATGCTGGTGGTGGGTGGCATTGACCGGGTTTATGAAATTGGACGCCAGTTCCGGAATGAAGGAATTGATTTGACCCACAATCCTGAGTTCACCACCTGTGAGTTCTACATGGCCTATGCAGACTATCATGATCTTATGGAAATAACAGAGAAGTTGATTTCAGGTGAGTCCTCCTCTCTTCATCTTTCACATTAGTCTGAGGGTCCAGTGTGCTGCTTTCAGAGGAGAGTTTCCCAGGCTTCATCCTCTTGAAATGGCTGGTTTCCTTCCCAGGAATGGTGAAGAACATTACAGGCAGTTACAAGGTCACCTACCACCCAGATGGTCCAGAGGGCCAAGCCTATGAGATTGACTTCACCCCACCCTTCCGGAGAATCGGAATGGTGGAAGAGCTGGAGAAAGCCCTAGGGGTGAAGCTGCCTGAAACCAACCTCTTTGAAACTGAAGGTGAAGTGATACACTCCTCCATCAAATGGCCCTCGTCCTGTCAGCTCTGAATTTGATGAGGTCATAGCTAGAATCTCCCACACTAGTCTCTTCATATGTATTACTCTAAGTTTGTAATGATGGGAATTGAACCAAGGGCCCTTGTGCAGAACTGTATCTTCAACCCTTTTTATTTTATAATTTGAGGCAGGGTCTCGCTAAATTGCTCAGGCTGGGCTTGAACTTGGATCCTCTTGCCTCAGCCTCTCAGAATGCTGGGATGGCCTACATGCGCCTCTACACCCTGCTTTTTCACATATGTTTTTACTGGGTTAGCGTGATGTCCCCAGTTCCAACTTAAGCATTTGTGTTATAGAAACTCGAAAAATTCTTGATGATATCTGTGTAGCAAAAGCTGTTGAATGCCCTCCGCCTCGGACCACTGCCAGGCTCCTTGATAAGGTAAGAGGCCATGTCCTCATCCAATGCTGATCAGTCCCCTCCTCCCTAAGAAGTGGATCCTGCCACAACTTTACCTAAAGAGAGATGAAAACCCTAAAGAGAAGGAGGGAATTGAGAAATTTTGAGCTGTCATCGAAGCTCTGTGCCAAATAGATCACGTTTATTCTCAGTTAATCCTTTCTAGCCTTTGAAAAAGGTGTAAGATAAAGCCAGTGGAGTGGGAAATAAGGTCTCCCCCAAGGCTGGGTCTATCAAAATACCTTTCAGAAGCGATGTCTATTTCTGTGTTGTTTTCTCATTAAGCTTGTTGGAGAGTTCTTGGAAGTGGCATGCATCAATCCTACATTCATCTGCGATCACCCACAGATAATGAGCCCGTTAGCTAAATGGTAAGATAAAGAATGATATTTTATTTACTTACTGCTGCATAACCAACCCAGTACAACAACAGTTTATTTTCATGATGATCTAGATTAAGTGGTCTTCCTGCTCCAAAATGTGTTGGCTGCGATAATTCAAGTGACTTTTTTCAACTGGGAATATTGTCAGGGTACTTTAGTTCTTCTGCACATGGCCTCTTCACATGGGGTCTCATCCTCCAGGGAGTCTCCATGTGGCATCTCTGACAGCATAGCTAGGGATTCCTTTCAGCCTGGCAGTTGGGTTCCAAAAGGAAGCATTCCAAAGAACAGGCGCAAATAGACCTCTGCCAGCACCCCATCAGCCTGTCCAGGTCCTGTGGGCCGTGAAAGGGAGGCAGAAGGGCTTTGCAGGGGAGTGGTGAGTACAGCAGACCACCACATTGCTTGTTAGGAAGGTAAATCTTCCTGACCCTCTCACCTCACTTGTGCACCAAGTGGTTGGTACTGAGAATGAATGCAGGCTTCAGGTTGCAAACAGTCACAACTTTTGAGTCCATTAGATTTCAGGAACTTGTGTACGGGTGATAAAATTATTAGGGATTTACATATTTAGCTTCCTCTTTAGTTTCTTCTCCCCAGGCACCGCTCCAAAGAGGGTCTGACTGAGCGCTTTGAGCTCTTTGTCATGAAGAAGGAGGTATGCAATGCCTACACTGAGCTGAATGACCCCATGCGGCAGCGGCAGCTGTTTGAAGAACAGGCCAAGGTAAGGAAGAAGCGTGAACAAAAGCACGTTTCACCAGAGAGCCCACTCACCAGGAAATACCAGCCTTAACCCAGGTCTCTATCCATGTGCATTCTCGGTAACTTAACAAAAATGTAGGCTAAAGCCGTAGGCTTGCCGGGAGGAGTCACATTTCAAAATGAGGACTTTAGTTCTCACTCTGCAATATATAAGGAGCATAGTTAAGATTGTTTGCAGGGAGAGTGTATCACTTATTTTGAAAATGATTTGCCTAACAAGAACATTATGTTTCTTAACTTGTACATTTATTGAGATGGCATGGGGATGAGAGGCAGATTAAAATACCACTGCCATGATGGGTAGTTTCAGGAAATGGGAAAGGGACTCTTGGAATCATTACCCAGTCTCAGAAAGTCTTACTCAAGCCCAGAACCCAAGGAGCAGAGATTTTCATATAAATCAGTATGCAGTCTGAAATAGATTGCATCAGTCATGACCCACAAGTCTATGGAAAAAATGGCTGTTGTAGAGTTCTGAAGAAACCAGTTCATAGGAAGTCTCAAATGTCAGGAACATCCCTGAAATAATGGTATTCCCTTTGAATGTTTTAGCATATTCACTTGGACCCTGAGATGTCCCAGAAGAACATAACCTTTTTAATCTCTTTATTCTAGGCCAAGGCTGCTGGTGACGATGAGGCCATGTTCATAGACGAAAACTTCTGCACTGCTCTGGAGTATGGGCTGCCTCCCACTGCTGGCTGGGGCATGGGCATTGACCGCATCACCATGTTTCTTACAGACTCTAATAACATCAAGGTACACTGCAGCCCTCCACAATAGCCCCTGTCACAAAGCTCCACTGTGTTGGAGGTGGGGCCTGGTGGGCCTAGAGAATAAAGCAAGTACTTTGAGCTAGAGGAGCTCATGTCAGACTCAGAACTTCTGACCATACTGAGTTTTTATCTTTTTCTTCCTGAGACAGGAAGAATGCTATTTCCATTGCTTGAGGATTCTGGGAAGTGCCAAGCCCTCTGGCTACATAGTTCTTTTAACTTTAGTCAGACTATGAGATGTAGAAGTTATTGTTACCCTGTTGGTATAGATGAAGAAATCTAATTTCAATAGACCCAGTGTCAATTATCCTTTTGACCTGGTGCCCCTAGGCAGTGCTGTATATTGGCTTTCTTTTATCCTCTGTTACTATGAGAGACCGGGTTGAAATAAAAGAACATCTATCTTTTCATCTGGGGTATACAGACAAATCTCTGGATTTGGGTAGCAATAGTAGCAGGCCAAAAGAACAGGTAAATCACTGTAAAAACTTCAGAGTGCTTAGCTTCAAAATGCTTTTTTATGTCCTGTAGGAAGTGCTCCTGTTTCCTGCCATGAAGCCAGAAGACAAGAAAGAGACTGTAGCAAGCATTGACACAATGGAAAGCACAGTGGTTGGCACTTCCGTCTAGAAAGTAATTCCAACTCGTATACCTCAGGCATCTGCATTTCTGCAAAAAGGTCAAGTCTCGGAGAAATTCTTGTGTGCAGTCATCCATTTGACCACCACAGATCAGTTCAGCCACCAGAATTGAGAATAGGAATTAAAAATTTCTTTTTACTACTTGCTAACAAATAAACCATTTGTCTCTTTACCTTAGGAATGTCAACCTTTTCCCCCAGACTGCTGGCCTAATGAATATTTAGGGTTTTACCATCTTATTCCTTCAACAAATTGATATTAATGTCTGATCAGTGCTAGGTATTGTTCTAAGGAATCAGACACTGCAGTGGACAAAAGCAAAATCTCTGTCTTTGTGGAATTTACATTCTTTCTTTGGGGTGGGGAGAGACACAAGAAACAAACAAGTAAATACATACCCTGGAGGTGGCACACACTAAGAAGGAAAATAGAGTAGGGTAAAGAGACAGAGGTGCTACTCTAGCAGTGCAGGTGGCAGTGCCATTTTAAATACAGCTATAGAGAAGACAGATCTCTGCTACATAACATTCAATTAGGGATCTGGAGACAGTGAGCCCAGCCCATGTGTGCGAAAGGGCTGTGACTAAAGGACCACATTTTTGAGCAGCAGAGGATCTGCTCAAGAGGAGTGGCTGAAGGTCAGTGGGGCCAGATCACACAAGCTCCTGGTAGTCACACAAGATTTGTTACAAGTCACATGGGAAGCTGTTGGAGGTGGAGTGGTGGAGTGCTCTTAAAGGATGATTCTCATCCGTGAAAGGTAACCTTGACCAGGGAAACCAGATGGGCTGGGAGGACATGGTGACTTGGACTTGGGTGGCGGGAATGGAGATGGTTCCTAAGTTCCTGAGGGTAACAGAATTTGCTAATGGCATATGACCTGAGAGAGAAGTCAAAAATGATTTAAAGGTTTTTGACCCCCCCCCAAGAAAAACTGGTAGAGTTGTCATTCACTGAGGAGAAAAACTAAGGAAGTATGTGTTTGAAGGGAAAGGCTGAGTTTGATTTTGGACATGCAGTATTGTTTGTCGCACCTGTTAGGCATCTAGGTAGATATCACCAGGATGTTCAATGAGAGTTTGAAGTTTTCTCATTTTTATTTTATTTATTTTTATTTTTTTTGCGGTACCAGGGATCAAACTCAGGACCTCAGGACCTTGAACCTTCGAAGCAGACGGGTACCACTGAGCTAAATCCCCAGCCCTCATTATTTTTAGCTCAACAGGGCAAAGAATGAAATAGGTGTGGCTGAGAGTTTGTGGTTACAATGGATCCCCTTTTCCCTGGCACAGGGAAGCAACTGGGAATAAATACTGAGTCGTTCAACAACAGACTTGTCATTTGTACCTCAGCAAAACTTCTCCAAGGCCCAGTTTGGGAGTTGCCTGTCTCTTCACAGAGCAGGTTTGTATTTCTGTAGCTGGTAGGGTGAGCTAAGCACACAATACCTAACTGGGAACTACTTAAGGGGATGAGAATCGTCACCCCTGCTGGTGTTTAAGCAGGAGATGACCAGGTGGTCTTTCAGAAGAAACTACCAATATGGCACATCCTCAGCAAGATGGTACTAGGATGGAGATGATCATCTGTTCAAAGCAGAGGGTGAGTCCAATACAACCAGAAAAGGAACTGGACTTCATGCAACATTGCCAGTGAGGACCACTGGAGAAAGCTACAAGGACTGGTAAAGTCAGTCCTAAGTGACCTAAGGATTTTTTCAATAGGAAACTGGAGGCAGAAGCCAGCTGTCTGGCCTTAACGAGGCTGGGAAACTGAGGCAGCAAGAGACAACTTGTATGTGGGATTTGGAAGGAAAACTGATAGGATGAAAACTAGAAGGGATAGAAGGATCATAAAGTTCTTGTTCATGAAAGTTGACTCAAATCAACTTCTGTATTGGGTTGGTCTTCAAGCTTCTAGACTTGTCAGGCAAATAAAGATTCAATAAATCACCCCCCGAAATTGTATAAAATGGCAGCTCCAGTAAATGAAGTCCATGGGGTATTGAGAAAGTATGACGTACCTAATAAAAGATTTCCCTAAGGACATTGTATCTGATATGAAGAAGGGTGTTTCCATGGTATGGAAACAAGCACAGTGGTGGCCCGGAGATAGGAAGGAGCGTGGAGAGAGACAATGTGTTACATAAAGGCTAGAGAAGCCCTAAGAAATACGACGTCCAGTGAGGCAGGAAAAGGTCCCTGCGTAGGGCTGTGAGCCTCACTGGTGTTTTTCTGTATATTAAAGGAGAGGGTGCCATCGCATTTGGGGTTTGAAAAGATCAGTCTAGCTACCCTGGGGGAAATGAATTGGGAATTAGGCAGGGAAAAGGGGGAAGTTCAGGGATTAGTGTGGCAATCAATCCAAAAGATGTTAGTGGCTTGGACTAGAGTGTGAAAGTGAAGCCGTTAGGAAGTGACAAAGCTGACCGATAATAGCAATCTCTGAGATAAAGAATACTGCAAGATGATCCCCAACACCACCATGCATGTTTCTTCAATGATCCAAGGCGGGAGGCCGCTGCTGATTTTTATAAAATGGAGAGAGGAATAAAGAGCAGCGACCTTAGCCTGGGAAGAGGTCAGTGGCCCTTTTCCTTTGAACTAGAGAGAAGGGTCAAGCAAGGTGCAGTTCTGCCCCCTTTTAACTTTTGAGGGGATAACAAAAACAAAAATGAGTTTCTTCACCAACAGCAATTGAAGTATATAACTGTTGGATGGCAAAGGCTTCTGCACTACCCAGACAGCAATATTACCTAGTATACTGAAGGTTTTAGACCTGCACTGTCCACAACAGTAGCCACTAGCCACATTATTTGGCTATTGACAATTTTAAATCTGGCTAGTCCAAACTGAGATGTAAATGTAAAGTACGCAGATCTATTTAAACTAAGTATGAAAAACTAATGGATTAAAAATTTCATTTCGACTTTTTAAATGTGGCTGCTAGAAAAAAATTACATATATGGCTCGAATTATATTTCTGTCGGACAGCGCCGTTTTAGACAAAAATTCATCTAGAGTTCCAAGATAGACCCATCATATTTGTTTTGTTTTTTGGTACCAGGGATCGAACTCGGGACCTTGTGCTTGCGAGGCAGGTGGCGCCACCACTGGGCTAAATCCCTAACCCAACCCACCGTATTTGAAGCCGTAACACTGGGCAGGTGGCTCCCAACAGCCAGTTTTCCGCGTCCCAAAGCACGCCGCCCAATCAGAGGCTGGGAACTGTACATGCGGGCAGTATACCTCGGGGCCGGCTCCCCCAAAGAACTACAAGGACCAGAGTGCACTGCGTGGTGGCGTCGGAGCCCGGAAGGCGTAGTCTCTCCGTGATGTCACGTCCGCTGCGCAGCCGAGGTTGTCCCGCATTTTCTGAGGGAGCGTGACTCTGAAGCGGAAGGGGTGCGTCTGCAAGTTGAGGGTGTAGGTTTGGGGTCGCAGGTTTGAGGGCGCCCTAGGTCCTTCGAGCCTGGCTGTAGTGAGCCAGTTTTATGTGGGAAGAAGTGAGAACTGTTCCTTTCCCAAGCACCTGTCACTTGGAAAGTGCGGTTCCCCGCCTGGATGTAACAGCTATCAGCTGGGTGAAGAGCTCTTGGCGGCGGCGAGCGCGGCGCGTGGCCTCTGGCGGCCGTGCCGCAGGACCAGTGAGTCAGCCGCTTACGCTGTCCGCACTTCACGGCCCCAGGGCCTTCTCTAGTGACTCCCGTCCTGCGGATTCCCACTCATTTCCGGAGTATATGGGAAGGACACCAAAGGGAAGCCTTCCTCTCCTTCGAGCACTGCTAAAGCCTTTCCTCCTGGGCAGCTGGCCCTTTGGAAAAGAAGCGGGTTCTTCCTCCTGTCACTGTTACCAGATGCGATATTAAGGGTATAGAAATGCCTGTTTAACTGAGCTGTTCCCTACGAAGTTCCTCAAGACATGGGAAGGGGTGTAGGCTTGGATATAATGGACCCAGAATATTAAAACCTTTATTCATTTCAACAACTGTGTATACTCATTCAGAGTCAACCCCCTGAATGACATGATGTATTTGGGGCTGCTTTGTCTTAAAGAATTATCATTTCTTCTGCAAGTTCAGCCTTCCTTGGCTATTACACTTTGTGATGTAGCCCTCCACTTTAATGTCAGGTTGATGGCGGGGTATCCGCTTCATAAAATAAACTGCTTTGTGATAGAACCCTGGAAGTAACTAGAGAGAGCCTTCCAAAGGAAGGATTCTAGAATTTCCCATGTTTTGCTTTGCTCTTAGAGATACAAGACTGCTGGCATTCTGACTTTAAAGTTACAATTTCTGTCAGTTCATGCCAGATATTTGTCTTAAATCTTTATAGTCTGATTAACCATTACTACAATAACATGCCTGTGCATTCCAGTGCAAAAGGGCAAATTGTAGAAATATCTTTCAGAAGCTATATGCATTGGAGCTCAGTAAAACTGACTTTGCTTCTGTTTTATAAATGTTGAACTATATCTGCCCACCAGGTGATCTCATCTACTAAAATATTCTTTATATGATTGAGTCCAACTGAAGTGAGGATATATCCAGTGAGCATTTGCTAGAGGCAAGAATGGGAGGGTTACCCACAAAGTATACCTGGCCTCTTTCAGGCCTGATCTCTGTAATGGATTTTTTTTTTTTTTTTTTGAGACAGGGTCTTGCTGTGCAATTCAGGCTGGTTCTTAATGATTTGGGGGGGGGGGGTACTGGGGATCAAACTTGGGTCCTTGCGTTTGCACAGCAGGCAGCGAAACCACTGAGCTAAATCCCCTGCCTATTAATGAATTTTTATTCATGGCTTTATGTGCCCATCAGAGACCTTCTTTGTCCCACCACCACCACCAAGAAGCTCAAGGCAAATTACCTTACCTAGGACAATCATCAGGTTTTTTTGTTTGTTTTTGTAATACCAGTAACATTTGAGATTAGTTACTCAACATTATAGTAGTTACTTTGTGTATTGGAAGGTACTGGGGTTGAACCCAGGACCCTTGCACTGAGCTACATCCCCAGCCTTTTTTTAACTTTTTTTTTTTTTTTTTGGTACCAGGGATTGAACTCTTCGGGACCTTGTGCTTTCGAGGTCGGCGGCGGAACCACTGAACTAAATCCCTGGCCTGCCTTTTGTTAAATTTTGAGACAGGGTCTTACTAAGTTGCCCAGGCTGGCCTTAAACTTATGATCCTCCTGCCTTACTCTCCCACAGTGCTGGGATTACAGATGTGTGCCACCACACCAGCAATTACTTTTATAAATATAACCCCAATAAATTAGATTCCATTATCCCTATTTTAACAAATGAGGAAACAAAAAGAAGTAAATCTTTCCAATATCACATAGTTTAATTTGTGACAAAGCCAAAATTAACATTCACAAAGGGCAACTCCAAAACCCACATTCTTCAGCACAACTGTGAGCATAAAAGGACTGGTGAGAAATCTCTGTGGTGATTTACTAGAGGGAGTTAGAGATTCCCTTTGCTGTAGAGGAGAGATGAGAAAGATACATCCTTAAAAAGAGGATGGAAAAGAACATCTGTTCAGAAAGATAAATCTTAGGGGCCGGGGATTTAGCCTAGTGGTGCTGCTGCCTGCCTCGCATGCACAAGGTCCCAAGTTCCATTCCTGGTACCAAAAAAAAAAAACCAAAGATAAATCTTGTATGATGAGCTGTCATATGCTTTTATGTTGATTCATTAGATATGTACCAGACATCTAACATTAAAAACAGAAACTTGAAGAAATAAGGTATCCCAAAAAAGTATCTTCTGGGGTTGGTGGGATTTGGAACTTAAATCTCTCATAGATGAAAAGGAGAACCCGGTATGGTAGTTCATGACTGTAATCCCAGCACTCTAGGAGGCTGAGGCAGAAAGATTCCAATTTGAGCCCATACTGGACAATTTAGTAATTTAGCAAGATCCTGTCAAAACATAAAAAAGGGCTAGGGTTTCATTCCCTAGTAACACACACACACAGATGAAAAGAGGGCAAGGATGTAGGGGAAAATGAATGAAATTCCAGATGGAGGACCCTCAGTCTGAACACAATTGGACAGCATAGAAAGATTGTTGAAGAACTGTTGTGAGGCTGTAGTACCTTGTGCTGGTTCTCCTTCCTGTACTCCTGATGATTGTGGCTTTCCATCAGGGCCTCTATCCCACCTCTGACCATGTGGACCTCAGATGAGATTGCTCAACTGTGCTATGAGCACTATAGGATCAGGCTGCCCAAACAAGGGAAGCCTGAGCCAAATCGAGAATGGACTTTATTGGCAGCCGTAGTGAAGATCCAATCTCCACCTGACCAGGGCTGTGACACACCTGATAAACCAGTGCAAGGTGAGACCTTTTCTCTCCATGTCATTATTATACAGGGCTATTTGGTGACAGTTGTGGGCTGGGTTAGATGTAAGTGTTTTTGTTTTCCGTATGTCCACCAGGTGGCGCAGTACTTCCTGTGGTGGGAGACCACCCTGCTGGGACTGCAGTCCTGTTTGAGTCAAGCTGTGGGAATCCTATGGACAAGCCGGCAGACATATTAAACCTGGGCACTGGGGAACATTCAGCCTGTGAAAGCTCACTTAATGATTTGTTTTTTCCTCCCAGTGACAAAGGAAGTTGTCTCAATGGGAACAGGAACGAAATGCATAGGCCAGTCCAAAATGAGGAAGAGCGGTAAGCGTGGGTGAGAATCTAAGCAAAGAATTGCATGGGAGCCTTGGAAACCAGTGTCCTTGTCAGGGAAAAGGGGCCACAACAGTTGGATGTGACAGACCTTTCCTTTCCTGCTGACTGTTACTCCCATTGGAAACCAGTGCTTGCTTATTTAAAAAATGGATATCCCAAAAAAAGAATGGATATCCACCACTGAAGCAAAAGCCACATGCTGAGTGAACCCAAAGCCAGCTAGTTTTCATGCTCAGACCACAGGTTCCCTGCGTTTAGCTATTCCATGTCGTGTCTACAAGGCTTTAGGGCTTTGGAGAAGGTAGAGGATGCAGCTCAAGTGGTTTCTGACACCCTGAAAGTTATTTTGAATTAAATGGAGCTTTTGGTACCAGTAAGAATATGGAAGCCCCTTAGAGGTCTGGGGTCCTTACCTTCCTCTTCCACTTAGCAGATTCCTCTTTGAGTTTGCTTGCTGTATTCACCTAGTCTTGCCGCCTCTGTAAGATAGAACTGTTCCAGGACCACTGGATTGAATTAGATGGACATGTCTCACCATGAGCACAAGTATGATGCCAGGGTACAAAAGGTCTCTAGATAAAGATTTTTCTATAAATCTGGTTCTCAGCTGGGAGATATTTGGCAATGTGTAGAAATATTTTTGATTAACACATCCAGGGGAAGGGTGCTCCTCACATCTCACAGGTAATGATAGGAGTGATACTAAACGTCCTACATTGCACAGGCTAGACTCCCACAACAAAGAATTTTCTGGTACAGAATGTTTGCAATGCTAGGTTGAGAAACCCTGCTATTAATGCATTGCTGTTAATGATTTTGGTATTTTCTGCCAAAGCTCTCTGAGAGTGGCTACACAGCCACACGGCCATACTGAGCACTAGGGTGCTGCCGTATGCTGTTTCTAGGAATCAGGGTCTCTCCATGTTCCATATTTCTTCACTTAGTATCATTTCTTTGCCACAGGAGATGTCCTCAATGATAGCCATGCCGAAGTCATAGCCAGAAGGAGTTTCCAAAGGTAAAACCACAACTCCAGAGAGTCTTGATTCAGTGGGTCTGGGGCAAAGTCACAATATTTGCATTTGTGATAAGCGCTGAACAGAGATTATAATATCACTGTGAACTACTGGGGTCTAGACTAGTGGTGCTCATTACAATCTAGATTTCTAGACGTACCCAAGAGATTCAGCAGATCCAGGGTGGAGTCTGAGAAATTACCTTTCTGACAAATTCCCAGGTGCTGCTGATGCTGTGGTGCAGACACTGGACTAATTATTCTAATTCCACATCACTACCAGTCTCCTTGGTCAATAGAAACTCTCTTTTAGCAATCACCGTACCATAGTCTTTCTGTGTGCTATAGAAATTGGTTGTTTACTCTATAATGTCTTATGACTCATAGGTACCTTTTCCATCAGCTCCAATTGGCAGCCAATCTGAAAGAGGATAGTATCTTTGTCCCAGGAACTCAAAGAGGACAGTGGAAACTCCGACCAGACCTCTCTTTTGTGTTTTTCTCCAGCCACACACCCTGTAAGTATATTCAAGCCTTTGGGTTAATGTTATATTGCCTACTTTTTTATGTTTGTTAGTTTGGTTGGTTGTTTTTTTGAGACAGAGTCTTTGTAGTTCAGATTGGCTTTGAATTCACTATGCAGCCTAGGCCGGTCTCAAACTCATGGTGATCCTCCTGCATAAGACACCCAATTGCGGGGATTACAGGCCTGTGCTACCACACCTACCCTTTATGTTTATTTTATCCATAGAGAAATTTGTTTTTTAAAAAAGCATTTGTATTGAAGTATAGTTACAGCTGGTGACAATGCCTTTTTACATCCCTAATCACTTCTCTACTATGGGGAAGGCAAGGTAGAAGTAGGGTGGTGTGGAGTCTCACTCATACCATTAGTTCTCAAAATCAGATTGGGAAGCTTAAGACTTAAATCCTAGAAGGTGTGATGCTAACAATGGGACTTAGAAGTCCAAAGTCCTACTATAGTAACTTTTCCTAAAACTCAGTTCATTCATTCTTTGAAAAAATATTTTCTACAGGTCAGACACATACTGAATATTTAGCAGTGAATAAGACTTATTACATTGTTTACCCTGAAATAGTCTTTTAGGGAATGTAGAGAATCGTGGTTAATTAGAGTATATTTTGATGAGTTAGTAGGGGACATTCAAGAGCTGTGGTTTCATAAGGTAAGAAGACCAGACCTAACTCAGACGGACTCATTTCTGTCCTGTTTTTCTTTTTCAAAAACTGACAGTAAGGCCAGGGATTTAGCTCAGTGGTTCCACAGCCTGCCTCGCAAGCGCAAGGACCCAAGTTTGATCCCCGGCACCAAAAAAAAAAAAAAAAAAATGGAAAGTAATTCCAATCTTTTGTAGGCAACAACTGAGGGTTGGCAGTAAATTTTCTCGCTCTAAAAATTTTGACATAAGGTTGTGATTGTCCTCTAGTAAATATTAAAAACTAACACATAAGTAGAGAAGAGATAAGTAATCATTATAAAGAAAGAATAGCCACCAAGATTTGAACATAACTCAGATTGAAAATATTGTTATAGGGAATATAATGTTGGAAAATGAATTAGTTAAGAGTCAAAGGCCAGGCTGGAGATACAGCTCAGTGACAGAGCACTTGCTTAGCATTTGTGAGGCCCTGGGTTCTATCCCCATCACCACAAAATGGGAGGGGGGAAGATCAAAGGCCAGAAAAATGACAAACAAGTAGGCTGGGGTCATCTGTGCTCTACTCATGTACTGGCTGGGTATCCTGGTCCAGAAAAATGACAAACAAGTAGGCTGGGGTCATCTGTGCTCTACTCATGTACTGGCTGGGTATCCTGGTCCAAGGACCAAAGGATGTTTCCTAGTCAGTACTTCTAAAGCTGTAATATTGCCAGGCATGGTGGCACATGCCTGTAATCCCAGCACTCAGGAGGCTGTAGCAGAAGGATGGCTGCAAGTTTAAGGCCAGCTGGGCTACATAGTGAATTCAAGAGCAGCCTGAACTACATAGCAAGACCCTGTCTCAAAACAAAATAAAGCTGTAATATGCACACAAGACACCCACAGTTCTCGTTAAAATGCAGATTCAGGTTCATTAGGTTTGGAGTGGGGCCCAAGGTTCTGCATTTCTACCAACTCCCAGGGAATGCCAGTGGTACTAGTCAGTGGACCTCTCTTTGAGCAGCTAGGGCTTGGGTGTTCCCAGGCTCACAGACTATCAAACTACATAAACACATGGCCTATGGATATACCAATCTTTATGAGAGTCTACAGCAAAACAAAAATGAAGACTATGTAGTTGAGTTTTTCAGAAGCTAGTTCTGCCAGGCGTGGTGTGCACATCTGTAATCCTAGCATTAGAGATGCTGAAGCAGGAAGATCCCTGTGAGTTTGAGGCCAGCCTGGGCTACATAGTGAGACCCTGTCTCAAAAGAAAAAAAAAAAAAAAAGATTTCTTTCAATTTAAAGATTACAAGAAAGCTAGGCATGGTGGTACACACCTGTAATCCTAGCACTCTGTAAGGCTGAGGCAGGAAGATTGTAAGTTCGTGCCCAGCCTGGGCAATTTATCGGAAACCCTGTCTTAATATAAAAAGAGGCTGGAGATGTAGCTCACTGTGAAGGCCCCAGATTCAATCCCCAGTACTGAAAAAGATAATTACTTTCTTTTCTTTTTTTTTATAATGGTGGTAATTGGGATTTTTAAAGATCTTACTTGATGCAGTTAATAAGTTAAAAACTGGAAATTTTGTTGATATGTGAAATAAAAATCCAGAACCACTGATCTAACTTCCTCAGTTTCTTGAATAATATTTTAAAATGTGATGTCCCCCGATGGTTTCTCCACAAAAAGAAAGCACACTACCTGCATAATGTGACTCTCGGCTCCCTTGGCATTTACCTCTTGTTACTAGTTATCCTCTGGTGCCTTGGTTAGCTCTCTCTCATGAGTTTTATTAGCATGAGTCAGCCTCCTAAGTGCAGGCATTCTGTCAGGATCAAATCTCTGAGCCTGCAGAGTGGGAGGTAAACCCCAGAGAATTCTCCAAAGTCACTGTCACCTTGTGAGGTCTCTAAAAGCCAGCCAGCCAGCCTCCCTGGCAACACTCCCACTCCTGCATCTTTTGCCTTTCCCATCCGTAGGTTATAAAGAGTACAGATGTATTATTTACACACTTCTAAAAACCAGCACACATTAGGTTAGTGTTTGAGGAAATAGCTCCCTCCTCAAGGGAGAGCTGTGCTTTCCCTTGAGCTCTGGTTTGCTTCAGTTCCCTGTGAGCACACAGTAGATAAGAAGTCTCTAAGCCAACTTGGGGGACACTGGAAGTTTTGATTAACTGGTTCCGGCCAGATTGTGTAACTCACTGTAGAATCTTTTTACTGTGGGGATATGCGCCATGAAATCTCCAAGATGGGGACATTTTTAGCACTGTGTGCCAAATTTATGTAACCACAAATGTACCACTTGCTTTGTTTTCCGGGTATTTAATAGGATAGCAGTCCACTATGGGCTGGGAAACCTCATTCTAAACCAGTGGTTCACAACTCAGAACAGTTTTGCTTCCCAGGGGACATTTGGCAACATGGGGAGACACCTTTGGTTGTCAGGCTTGGGGACTGGTGGTGTCCATTGGGCAGCAGTGGTGCTGCTAAATACCCTCCAATGTACAGAACAGCCCCACAGCAAATATTATTCTTTTCCCAGATGTTATCCCTCAGTGTAGATGTTGACACTCCCCGGGCTAAACCAGTGTTTCCAAAAATTCACTGTAATAAGGATTACCTGAGATCTTTGTTTAAATATTGTTTTCTAGCCAGACATGGTGGCGCACACCTGCAATCCTAGCACTGAGGAGGCTGAGACAAGAGGATCACCATGAGTTTGAGCCCAACCTGGGCTACATAGCAAGTTCCAGGCTAGTGAGACCCTATCTCAAAAAAACCAAAAAATATCTATATTTATATATAATGTATATAAATTTTATTTCCCACACCTCTCTTCTTTAGAAATTTCAACTCACTGAGTATAAGAGAAAGTCTTCAGCAAGCGCAAGGACCAGAGTTTGATCCCTAGTACCAAAAAAAAAAAAGAGAGAGAGAGAAAGTCTTAAGTGAGAGCCCTTGATTCTTTTTCTTTTTTGGTAGTACTGAGGATTGAGACCAGGGCCTTCCCATGAAGTTTTATTCCCAGTATTTTTTTTTTTTTTTTTTGGTACTAGGGATCGAACTCGGGTCCTTGCACTTGCAAGGCAGGCAGTGGAACCACTGAGCTAAACCCCAGCCCTATTTTTTTGACTTTTTGAGACAAGATCTTGCAATGTAGTTCAGATTGGCCTTGAACTCACAATGTAGCCTTGTCTAGCTTCGAACTCATGGTGATCCTACTGTGTCAGCCTCCAAAGTTTTGGGATTGCAGGTGTTCACCACCATGCCTGGCTTTGATTGGTTCTTTTATTTGGGGGGATCTAATATTTTAAGTTCTTTATTCTAGATATTAGTCCTCTGTCTAAGGACTAACTGCCAAAATTCTTTTCCCAGTCTGTAGATTGTCTCCTCACTCTGTTGGTTTTTTCCATTGCTGTGCAGAACCTTTTTAATTTGATATGATCCCATTTTTAATTCTTGGTATTATTTCTTGTGCCATTGAGATTCTGTGTAGAAGGTTCTTGCCTATGCCTGTGTCTTTAAGAGTTTTATCTATCTTCTATGAGATTGTTTCTGTTTTAACATTTAGATCTGTGATCCATTTTGTTTTAGTTTAGTACATGGTAAAATATATGCTAGATTCAATCTTCTACATGTACATAGCAAGTTTTCCCAATACCATTTATCAAAGCAGCTGTCTTTCCTCCAGTGTGTGTTTTTGGCCCCTTAGCCTGAGGTTGCCTGCATCCTCTCTTCCACTGATCCACAAGTCTGTTTCTGTGCCAGTACCATGCTGTCTTTGTCACTGTAGCTTTGCAGTGTAACTTCAAATCTGGGATTGTGGTGCCTCCTGCTTTACTCTTGTCGCCCAGGATTGCTTTTGCTATTCTTTGTCTCTTTTGGTTCCATATGAATTTTGGATTGTTTTCTCTAGTTCTGTGAGGAATGTTGGTATTTTGATTGAGATTAAGTTAAATCTGTATATCAGCTTTGGAAGTGTGGCCATTTTGACTACTGGTTCTGAGACAGTGATTCTTCAACCTGAGCTTACATCAGAATCACCTGGAGAGTTTATTAAAACAGACTTCCACACAAGGACCTGAGTTCGATCCCCAGTACCAAAAAAATAAAAAAATAAAACAGACTTCCAGGCCCACCTTCAGAGTTTGTTGGCTCTACTGTGAGTCCAAATAATTTGCAGCATTTCTAGCAAGTTCCTAGGTATGTTTATACAGTTGGTCCAGGGGACTCATTTTGAGAACCGCTGGTTCAAAGGCGTCCTTGTCCTGCAGGTGGGGACGCCTCCATCATTCCAATGCTTGGGTTTGAAGAGCAGCCTTGCTGTCCTGTCAGCAGAGATTGGGCCAAAACCTCATCTGTAGAAGCCAGTGGTAACCTGGAGGCTTCTGAAAATAAAAGAACTTGTGAAGACCCTGACAGTCCTATAACCAAAAAGATGAGGCTTGGAACTCCTGCCAGGTTGGTCGCCAACGATGCAGCTCATTGTGACAAGCAAGGCAGTGACCCAGTTGCACCAGATGTCAGCATTCCTAACATCCCTTTAGAAGAACTGGCTTCTGTCCCTGGAATAGCCTCCTGTGGTGTGAAAGTGGTGGACGTTTATAGAACCGGAGCCAAGTGCGTGCCCGGAGAAGCTGGAGACCCTAGGAAGCCGGGTGCCGAATATCACCAGGTAGGGCTGCTCCGAGTGAAGCCAGGCCGGGGAGACAGGACTTGCTCCATGTCCTGCAGTGACAAGGTGGCCCGATGGAATGTTCTCGGATGCCAGGGCTCACTGTTGATGCATTTCCTGGAAGAACCCATCTACCTATCTGCTGTGGTCATCGGAAAGTGCCCGTACAGCCAGGAAGCCATGCACAGAGCGCTGATTGGGAGGTGAGAGGGCAGGGAGGGAGGCATCTGAGTGTGCCACGGAGCCAGAAAAGTCTGCATGCTTGTGATCCAGCAGTTACACCTATAGGGGTCTGTCTTAAAGAAATAATTGAGAAAGTAACCATTTTAGTTTTGTGTATGGTAGTTTTTTAAAATTTTTTTGTGTGGGGTTCTTTGGTACCGGTCTTAAAGAAATAATTCAGAAAGTAACCATTTTAGTTTTCTGTATGGTAGTTTTTTTTGTATTTTGTTTTTTGTGAGTTTTTTTGGTACCGGGGATCGAACTTGGGACCTTGTGCTTGCAAGGCAGGCAGCGGAACCACTGAGCTAAATCCCCACCCCTGGTAGTTTTCTTTTAAAGGAAGCCTGAAATATTTAGCAGTGGGGAGTTAAGTGATTTCTTTTGTCTAAAATAATGTTGATGAATATTTAATGCAGAAAGATGTTCATAATGTTTAAAGAGCTGTCTAGTAGGGCTCCATGTTGGTCCTAAAGCATATGTGTATGTAAAAACTGCCAGGATGTACACTGAGGTATTAATAATGATGCTCTCTGGGTTGTGGTATTGTGGGTAGTTTTTTTTCTTGTTATTACTGTATTTCTCATTTTTCTACAGTGTACTTATATTGCCATTATGATACACAGTGACCTTTAATCTAGTTTTAATTTTTTAAAAACGATAAAAGACAAAGGCTGACCACACTTAGGACCACTCAGGTGTAGTCTCCCTAGTAGTGGCCAAACCTGATCAGTGCTATAGTAGGTGAGGAGGAGGCAACCTGAGCTATGTCAGACATCCAGCCTCTGAAGCCAGCTCCAAAAAGGAGACCCCGTGTATGACCCAGCAGTTCCACTCCTCAGTACACATGCAGGAGAAAGGAAAACATGCATCCACACAGACCTTTACACACCAGGGTTCATAGCAGTGAAATGAGCCACATATTGTATGATGTCCTGTTTGTGAGACATCCTGAAGAGGCAAATCCATGGACACGTAGATGCGTGGTGACCAGGGGCTAGAGAAGCGGGTGGAGGGTGACCACTACTTGGCATGAAGGCTCTGGGACTTGAAGTTGCAGTCTGTGCAGTTTGTTACCAGCATCACGTTGGCATCTAGTTTGTATAAAAGAGAAAAAGTGAAGCTTTTATATTATGGGATATTTTTAGTTTCTGATGTGTTAAAGGATTTCCTAGAAAGTAGGTACCAAACATTAATGTTTCTGCTTAAAGTTTTCAAGTGCCTAGCTGGGTGTGGTGGTACATGCCTGTAATTCCAGCACTCAGGATGCCGAAGCAGGAGGATTACAAATTGGAAGCTGGCTTTGTACATGGCAAATTCAAGACCAACCTGGACTACATAGTGAGACCCTGTTTCAAAAAAAACAAAAACAAAAACAAAGCCAGGTGTGGTGGCCATCTGTAATCCCACCACTCTGGGAGGCTGAGGCAAGATGATCCCTAAGAGTTGAAGGCCAAAAAAAAAGAGTTGAAGGCCAACCTGGGCTACATAATGAGTTCAAGGCCAGCAAGACACTGTCTTAAAAAAACAAAACTGAGGCAGGAGGATTGAAGATTTGAGCCCAGTCTGGGAAATTTAGCAACTCTGTCTCAAAATAAAAACATTTCTGTAATCCCAGCACTGGGGAGGCTGAGGCAGGAGACTCACAAATTCAAGGCCAGCCTGGGCTACATAGTGAGTTCAAGGACCCTGTCTCAACAAAAAGATTTATAAAAGGCTAGGGATATAGCTTAGTGTGAAGGCCCTGGATTAAAATGGCCAGTAACAAAAAATTTTTTGCAAGTTTTCCGAACCCTGTATCAGAATTTATTTTAGGGCCTGGGAATGTGGCTCAGTAGTAGACTGATTGCCTTGCACATGCAATCCCAGCTCTGTCCAAAAAGGAAAAAAATAAAGGAGTGAAGTTTGATACCACTGACATCACTGATTAGTCATTCCTTTAGAGTGATGGAGAGGAATCTTCAACAGCCATATGCTCTTACCATCTAGATTCTGTTGTGACACACTTTCCTGTCCCCACCTAATAACCAAACAAGTAGATTTATGTACTTCCTAAGGACTCTCCCTCCACCCCGGCTTAGGCATGATGTAGCCCACAATCCTAGATACGATTTTTTTCTAGAAGTGTACATAAACTGAATGCACTTTCCCTCATATTTAGGTGTCAGAATGTCTCAGCTTTACCCAAAGGCTTTGGAGTTCAAGAACTGAAAATACAGCAGTCACATTTACTGTTTGAAAAGAGCCGCTGCGCAGTGCAGGCAAAAAGACCTGATAGTTTGGGTCGACTTGTTCCTTGTGGAGCAGGTAAGGGATCCAGGTTGGACTTGCTCTGAAGTAACTTATTCCCTGGCAGAGTATCCTGGCAGGGTCTGCATCTTCCCAGCCTAGGAAGGAAGCTTACCACTCCCATGGTCAATTGAACGGGCTTTGAAGATAACTTGCACTGGGTTAAGATTATGCTCTGTGTGACCCTGAGCAGATCACCCTCTCCTGGCCTCATTTCTTTCTCTTCAGATTAGAAAAATGTCATTTATCATGGTTATTGTGAGACTTGAGTGAGAAATTCTATTTAAAGCATTTAATCTGTGTCTAGCTTATAATAAATGTTCAATGAAATTATAAGCAATTATAGTGATGATGACAATCATGAACCACTTTATACTGTTCTGTCCTGGAGGCCGAGCATAAAGTAGAGACCTTCTCTGACATTGTATTCAGCTCTCATGGGCCTATAGAGTAAAAGAAATGTTTTTTATGAAAGTACTCTGGCATGAGAAGGAAATGGAAGTTTTAACTCCAGAATTTATCTCTTCATAGCAATCAGCTGGAGTGCAGTTCCTGAGGAGCCATTGGATGTTACTGCCAATGGTTTTCCACAGGGAACAACGAAGAAAGGAATCGGAAACCTGCAGGCCAGGTACAGGGTACTGGGGCTAGAGGTGATGGTGGCCATGAATTTATACCTTTATTGTCTAATTCCAGAACATTTTCATTGCCCCAGAAATTTTCTGAAAACCATACTGACTAGCAGTTACTACTTGGACTTTCTTGGAGAATAGGAAATTTCCATTTACCCTGCACTCTTTCTTAACATTTGTTGTTGTATGCTTTTTGGTTTTTTCCCCAGACAGGGTCTCACGATGTAGCCCAGGCTGGCCTCAAACTCTCAGTCCTCCTGCCTCAGCCTTCTGATTGGTGGGATTATAGCCATTCACCACTACCCTGGCTCTTCTCTGTCTTTTTATTGTAGCCATTCTACTGAGTATGAAGTGGTATATCATTGTGGTTTTGAATTGCATTTCTCTAGTGACTAATGGTGTTGAGCATCTTTTTAATGTACTTATTAACTATTTGTATATCTTCTTTGCAGAAGTAGCTATTCTCAGTTCTTGCTTTTTTTTTGGTACTGAGCTAAATTCCCAGCCCAAGTTCTTGCTCATTTTTAATGTTGAGGTGTAAGTCTCTGTTTTATACTCTAGATACTGGTCCTTTATCAGATCTGATTTCCAAACAGCTTTTTGGTTTTGGTTTTTCGAGACAGGGTCTCACTATGCAGTTTAGAGTGGGCTTGAATTCACTATGTAGCCCAGGCTGGCAGTGATTCTCCTGCCTTAACCTCCTGAGTGCTGGGATTACAGGCGTGCGCCACCACACCCGGCATCCAAACAATTTTCTCTAGTTAGTTCTGTTTGCCTTTTTTTTGATAGTGTTCTTAAAGCACAAAAATTGTAAATTTTTGTTTGTTTGATTTTTGGGGGTTTTTTGGTACTGGGGATCAAACTTGGGACCTTGCCTTTGCAAGGCAGGTGCCGGAACCACTGAGCTAAATCCCCGGGCCTGTAAACTTTGATGAAGTCAAAATTCTGTACTTTTTCTTTGGTTGATTGTGGTTTTGGTGTCATATTTTTGTTTGTTTATTTGGTTGGTTGGTTGGTTTTTGGTTTTTTGAGACAGGGTCTCACTATGTAGTTCAGGTTGGCCTCAAACTCTCAGTGATCCTCCTGCCTCAGCCTCCTGGGTGCTAGGATTACAGGTGTGCACCACTATGCCCAGCTTTGGTGTTGTATTTTTTATTAGTCCGTGTTTGCAGTACATAATGCTTACATTCATCAAGGGGAGCTGGTACATGTGCATAACTTCTCAATTCTTTTTATGTCCCCTCCCCCCTCTTACAACCCCCCTCTTTCCGGGTTTTGGTGTCATATTTAAACTATTGACTAATCTAAGGTCACAAAGATTTACTCAATGTTTTCTTCTAATAGTTTTATAGTTTTGTTTTGTTTTTTTTGGTACCGGGGATCGAACTTGGATCCTTGTGCTTGCGAGGCAGGCGGTGGAACCACTGAGCTAAATCCCCAGCCCTTAGTTTTATAGTTTTAGCACTTATGTTTAGGACTTGGATCCATTTTGAGTTAATTTTCTGTTTGGGGTGAGATAGGAGCCACAGTATTACTTTTGCATGTGTATATCCATTTGTCCTAATGTGAGTTTTTGGAAAGTTTGTTTTTGTTGGGGATATTTTTTTTTCTTTTTTTTTTTTTGTACTGGGGATGAAACTCTGGACCTTGTGCTTGCAGGGCTGGCAGCGGAACCACTGAGCTAAATCCCTGGCCCTTGACAGTGACTAGCAAAAAGTGCAGCTGGAAACTGGACTAACTTTGCATCTTCAGGTTGGCTTTTGCTGAAGTAGAGGGCTTATGAGATGTTGAGCTTGAGACTCAGATTCCATCCCTGGATGTTCAACTGCCTGTCTCTTTCATGGCCTATCTCTTTCTAAGGCTTGGCCAGTCACAGTGGTCCTTTTTCCATTTCTTTGTTAATGCCTTTATAAAAAGTAATATTGTACTTAAAGCTCACAGATGGATTCATTTTTTTTTTTACGTGCTTATTTGCATATCTCAAAATAACTAACCATTGCAGTGCAGGACGTGGTGGCGCATGGCTGTAATTCCAGCACTCAGGAGGCTGAGGCATGAGAATTGCCATGAGTTTGAGGCCAGCCTGGGCTACATAGTGAGTTCAGGGGCAGCCTGAACTACAAAGTGAGACCCTGGCTCAAAAAACAAACAAACAACAAGAAACCAATCTTAAAACCTAATTTACATTCCTTTTTTTACTTTTTTTTTTGGTATTGGATCAAACTCAGGTCCTTGCTTGCACAGCAGGCAGGAAACCACTGAGCTAAATCCCTGGCCCTTACATTCCTTTTTTTAAAAAAGAGATTTTTCTGTCGGGGTGTGGTGGTGCATGCCCATAATCCCAGCACTCAGTTGGCTGAGGCAGGATGCTCACTGTGAGTTCAAGGCCAGCCTGAACTACATAGTTAGACACTGTCTCAAAAACAAATAAACAACAAATTAAAAAGATTTTCTTCTTCATAGCCTCTAAGTGCCAGGGTTCAAACAGCCTAGACAGCAGCCCCTGCCCGTCTCCTGGAAGCCTAGGCTTTTGAATTGCAAATTACTGGGGTAGATATTTTTGGACCAGTTTTTCCCCAAGGGCCTTCCTCATTTCTAGCTACCTTTTGCATTTTTTTTGGAGACCATGTCTCAGCCCAGATCAGGATGTGTGAGCAGAGCAGGTCATGAGGGACAGGACCATGGGTTTCTTGCTTAGCTGTGTTTGGGTTGTCAATGACAGCCTCACCTTCCTCGTAATGGCCCTGCCCAGCTGACTGTGGCTTTCTTTTGCTGCTTTGCTCAGAACAACAACAGCGGAGGGGGGTGTAGTGGCTCACTCCTGTAATCGCAACACTCTGGAGGCTGAGGCAGGAGGATCACTGCAAGTTTGAGGCCTGCAAAGAGTTCAGGGCCAGCCTGAACTACAAAGGGAGACCCTGCCTCAAAAAACCAAAAAAAAAAAAAAAAAAAGACTTTTTGGTGTGATAGATAGTATCCTTGTCGTAGTCCTGATTTTAAAGACATACATTTTCTGTGGGATCTTAATAAATACCCCTTATGAATTTAATAATATCTTTACTAGGCCTGGTTCACTAAAGGGATGTGAAAATCCTTTTTCTCCATGAGTGTTCCTCCTGTTAGTTTTCTCCTTTAATCCATTAAGGGGAGCTCCCTTAGTTTTTGTTTTGTCTTCATGTTGAAGCAGCTTTTTGTCCCTGAGTGCGGGCAGCCACTCAGCAGTTAAGGCTGAAGGAGACCCTCAGTGAGAGTGAGTGCTCAGGGTCTCCTGTGAGCAGTGATTCCTGAGGTCGGCTGCTGTCAGCCAGGAGCTCTGGCAGACTCTCACATATACCACTCATGGCCTCTGTGTCCAAGCTGAGGGTGTGACTGGCCAGCCTGATGTAGGGCATAGTGTGTGAAGAAGAGACCGCATATTGTTGGGATGCACAGTGGTTCCCATTTCTAGATGCAGTTCATCCATTGTATATATGAGGGCAAGGAAGGTAGCACAGACAGCCCAGGCACATCTGGCTTCAAGAGGCAGAAACTAAGAGGACCCTTAAGTGTTGGAACCCCTGATGTTTGTTGCCTAGGAACAAGGGAACTGGAGACTCGCTTCAGGGGATCCTGTCCAGATGGACCTGAGAACTACAGGTCACACAGGGGACACGCTCAGGTTTCTGAACCAGAGCTTCCCATTTCTTGTAAACCATTTCACCCACAGGGGCCAGCTCCTTTGAAAGGAGGAAACTACTGAGCAGCATAGCTGAGACCCTGTCTCAGAAACAAAAAATTCTCTGTAGGCTGGGAATGTAGCCCAAGGGTACAGCAAGTGCTTAGCATGCCTGAGGCCCTAGGTTCAATCCACAACACTCCCTAATTAAAGAAGGTAGCCAAGATGTGTCTTACAGATAGCCTGGAGCAAAGTTTAGTAATTATACTGCTGTACCCCATTTGAGCCTGTCACTTTAATGATTCTACTGCTAATGACATTACTTAAGACTTTTTGTTTGGTTGGTTTTTAATTTTTTTTATTTTTTTGTTTGTTTGGTTGGTTGGTTTTGAGGGTTTTTTTGAGACAGGTTCTCTCTATGTACCTTAGACTTGCCTTGAACTCAGTGTCTCTCAGGCTGGCCTCAAATTCCCAGTAGTCCTCCTACCTCAGGCTCCTGAGTGCTGGGATTACAGGTGTGCACTACCATACCTGGCAAGATTCATTTTTTATACCTTAACCTGACCAGACATCTCCAGGTCTAGATCTTTTCCCTTGTCAAGTGCAGATGGACAGGGGTTCAGGCACATTCAGACACAAACACAATGTGGAGCCTGGTGTCTTTGATACGGTCTGGAACATGGTAAACACTTCATCAGTCATCTTGGCCTTTTTCTCACCAGGTCCCGAATCAGCAAAGTGGCGCTCTTCAGATCATTCCAGAAGCTGCTAAGCAGCATTGCAGAGGACAAGTGGCCATACTCCCTCAGGTGATGCTGTTGACCCACGTTTTTTCATATTAGGAAGACTTTTGTTTGGGTTCTGGTGTGTGAGTGGCAGGAAGCCTTGGCAAGAGTGGTGGCTCAGTGAGCCGTGGGCACTCATTACTGGGCACATGCTGCCTTGTCTCCATGGCCCTGCTCGCAGACAATGGGAACCTTGAGAGAATCTGTGTCCTGCCTTGTTATAGGAGAACAAGGGACCATGAGACTTAGCCAAATCATAGAGGAAAGGTAGATCTTCACAAGCTCAGCTCCAACCACAAGGTCAAGAGGAGGCTTCCAGAGAGCCGAGGAGCAGGACTGGGGTTAGTACAGTAAGTGGAAAATCACTAAGAAGGGGGACAGGGATTTAGCTCAGTGGCACCACCGCCTGCCCCACAAGCGCAAGGACCTGAGTTCGATCCCCAGTACCAAAAAAAAAAGAAAAGAAAGTCACTAAGAAGAACAAGGCTGGACTGTTAAGAGTCTTGCTGAAGGCAGGCCAGGGTGATGAGATATCAAGGGTGAGGGAGCAGAATTTGATCCAGTATTGACAATGATCAAATACCAAAGTTGGGAGTTGGTTGTTTTGTTTTGTTTGCTAAAATGACTTAGCAGAATTCTTGCTGAAACTGGAATTATAGGACTCCATCTCAGTATGGACAGAATCTTTTCAGAAGGTGATCTTTTCACTGGGTGTATTATAAATATTCCTCAGCATGTCAGCCGCCCTGGTCCTAGGGTAGTCAGATGGCTAAGGATTTGGGAAGGGTGTTGGCTGGCAGTATAGAGGAGGAAAATACAGATATGGTGGTAAGGTCCGTTAGGAAAATACAATGAAAATTTCTAATCTCTAGATGCTCTAGTGGAAATTATAGACTACTAGAAAACTTTAAACCAAAAATGTAGTTATTCTTGTTTTATCTGGTTCTACCAGGACCTTACAAAACTAGCATCTATTCATTCTTACCAGTTTAACCCATGTTGCATTCCTGTCAACTCCCCACAAAGGAGACAGAGTTGCTCCAGGAAAGCACATTGAAATCCTTTGCTTCCTGCTCTTTCGTTGTGACCTGTCCAGTTACTTGCTTGGGTGTCTTGTGGGCCCCAAACATGAGCAGTTCAGTGAGAAACTTTGTGTTTTCTTTAGGGTGCAGAAGCTACACACTTACCTGGAGTATAAAAAGGCTGCCTCTACTTACCAGGAGGCCTGGAGTACACTCCGGAAGCAGGCATTTGGATCCTGGATCAGAAACCCGCCAGACTATCACCAGTTTGAGTGAGAAGGAAAAGTTTTTAGAAAGCTTGCTAGTAGGTAGCAGGACCTTTCATTTTGTACTGCCTCTTCCTTCACACTGGACAACCCTTGGCTTTTCTGGTGGCTGAATCTGGAAAAAGAAAAGAAATAGTCCCTTCCAGAGCACTGTATCCCTCCAGGACACAGAGTAATCTATACTTGTTTGAAGTAGCTCGCTGCTAAAATGGCATCCCACTAATGACCTTATCTGACTTCAGTCATGTTTTATTGCTTCTCTAAAACACAAAATCAGAGTGTGGAACATGATGCTTTAAAAGCACTGCAGCAGCTCTTGTTTATGTGTTCCTGTATTGATTCAGCAGATATTTATTGGGCTCAAATGGCATTGGGATCTCTGCAAGCTCTACAGCTTCACCGGGTGTCATGAACATAAACAGTATTTTGTATTCCCAGCCTTCCTGCCTTGGGGAGCCATTCTAAGTGCAGTCTTCAGGTATCAGTCTTGCTCATAGCTAATTTTACTCCCTGGCTCAGGATGACACTGAGCCAGCCGGGGATGGCCCTGATCTCAGAACTATCAAGACATATCTCTTGATTAGAACTTGAAGGCCACATAATCCTGGAACTGCCAATGGCTGTTCTTTCCTCCCACATAGAGCCAGCTGAGCATGAAGCCAGCAGGAGGGAAACAGCCAGGAGAACCAAAGCTCTGCTGATATTGTTTGGATCCCTGAAGCCAGGGCCCACCTGAACCTCAATTATGTGACACAAATTCCTGTTGTTGCAACTAAGCCTGTTGGAGTAGATTTCCTGAAGCTGAGTTCTGCTTGAGCACCTACAAGTCCCCGCAGCAAATCAGCCGCAGACCTAGCAACCAATCCTGTTTAACATTAAATATTTAGCTCTCAGCTTTTTCACACCTTGACTAATGGACTGAAACTGGAAACTTCTATGTCAGGGGTTATTCAAGGTGAGCTACTTTTATGGCTTTAAACATTTTTTAATAACAACTTTTTTTGAGGCAGGGTGCTGGGGACTGAACCCAGGACCTTTCCTTTGCACTGAACTATATCCCTAGTCCCTCTCTTCTCTCTCTCTCACTCTCTCTCTCTCTCTCTCCTTTTTGTTTTCTTGAGACAGGGTCTTAAATTGTCTAGGCTAGGCTTGAACCTGTGATCCTCCTGCCCTAGCCTCCCAGAATGCTGGGATTACAAGCATGCAACACCATGGCCAGCAATATCAGCTTTATTGAGATAAAATTCATCCACTCAAAGTATACCATTAGCAGTATTTAAACTATCCACAGAGTTGTATAACCATCCATTTCATATCATTTTCATCACCCCAAAAAGAAACTTTGTGCTTAGTTTCCTAGGGCTATCTTAACCAAGTACAATAATCTGGTTTAAAACAACAAATCAATCAGGCATGATGGCGCAAACCTGTAATCCCAACATTCAGGAGGCTGAGGCAGGAGGATTGCCTGCAAGTTCAGGACCAACTTGGGCTACATAGTGAATTTAAGGCCAGCCTGAACTACATAATGAGACCCTGCCTCGAAAAAAAAAATATTCTCTCTCAGTTCTGGAAGGGAGAAACTCAAAATCAAGTTGTCATGGGGCTTACGCTCCCTCTAAACACTTGGCATGAATTCTTCCTTGCCTCGCCCTTAGCATCTGTGGCTCCTCCTAGTCCTTGGTGTTGCGTGGCTTGGAGCTGCATCACTCCAGCCTCCACCTTCCCTTTGCATGCCTTCTTCCCTGTGTGTTCGCCTTCACTCAGACTCCTTCTATCATAATCCATCCCATTCTCCACCAACTGCATCTGCAATGACCTTGCTTCCATCAAGGTCACGTCCTGAGGTTCCAGGGGACATGGAAGTTGGGGGCACTGTTCAACGCTATGTGCTACCCATTATATTACCTCCTTATTTCTTCTCAGCCCCCGGTCCTGCAGCAGCCAGTTTTCTGTCTCTGTGGGTTTGCCTGTTCTGAACATCACATGCAAATGGGATAATACAATAAGTGGTCTGTATGTTCTTAATTTTTTTAATTATGGGAGTAATGTATGTTTGTCATAACAAGTTATCCTTAATATTTTTAAATAAATCATTTTAGATTGCAGGCAAGGAAGCCAAAAACACTTCTACCTACAGCCCAAATATTCTGCTCCCTGATATTCTGCTTTTTAATGTAAGTTTCTTTTCCCTGACCACACATCCCACATTACAGCAATTAGGATGCCTGGGCTGGCAGGAACTTTTATCTGCAGAGTATTATGTGTGTCTCTCTTTTATAAGTTTTTGGTTTTGTTTTTTTTTTGGTGTCGGGGTTTGAACTCAGGACCTTGCACTTGTGAGGCAGGCAGTGGACCCACTGAGCTAAATCCCAGCCCTATGAGATTTTTAAAGATAAAGATCTATATGAGAATATAAGGAAATATCTTTTTATTCCTAAATTTTCTGTTTGTCAAATTTATACCAAAAGGAAAGGAAGGAGGGAGGGAGAGAGGGAGGGGAGGAAAAAGAAGAAAAAGGAAAGGAAGAAAGGAAGGAAGGAAGAGAAAAAGAGAAGAAGAGAGAGCATGCTGGCTGAGGCAATAGTGGCAGGAACAAAAGGTGGAGACTGAAAGGATGCCCATCTACGATAAGGGCAGTTTTAGTCAGTCCCATGTCGACTGTGCAGAGCTTTGAACCGACACCCCTCTGTCTTCCACCCGGAGTACCTGTCAGAACAGAGCATTGTGACAGAAAGACAAACATCATCCTGCAATGCCTATGTCAGCAGTGGGACAAAAAGAACGCCACCAAGAAGAGGGACTCAGAGCAGGTGGAGCTGGAGGCTGAGAGCTCAGGTGGTACAGACTGACTGACAGGCACAGGGACAGCCAGGCCCATGATGCCCCCGCCCATGTCCACACCCTTTCAATCTCGCAGGAGCCCATGTATTTATTTTCTCTGAGTTGTTTTTTTTTTGGTACCAGGGAATCGAACTCGGGTCCTTGTGCTTGTGTAGCAGGCGGCGAAACCACTGAGCTAAATCCCCGGCCCAATCTCTGAGTTTTTATTTATGCTGTAATACTTGTCACACTGGTGAGGAAGGACTCAGACCCTGTAGGGTGATGTCAGTAATGCTTTTTATATGCGTTCTCTGCCCTCCCCTGCCCAGGTCCCCACCCCTGAGACAAAGTGTGTCCTTGAGTGTCTAGATCTGGGGTCCTGCTGCTGCCAGGCGGCAGGGTGGGGCCAGGTGGGGACAGCTGTGCAGCTTTGTGTGTCCCCACAGCAGGGCCCTGCACCACAGCCCTTCAGATCTTGTTACTGGTTTTTATCATGGACTCGAGCATGCTCTGTGTCAACCCTAATAAAGGATCTTTCCTACTTAAAACAAAACCCTAAATATTAAACGTTTGAACAAACAGACATCAGAATAGCAACCAGAAAAACCCTGAAGGCTAGACACTGAGGGCAGCTTCCACTCCCTTTGACCTCTACCTATTTTCTCAAGAGCTAAAAGTGATGTTTAAACATCCAGCATGCTACCTTCTATTTTATGCTCTTAAAACCCAGCCTTATGCTACCTACAATCCCACTACTCAGGCAGAAAGATTTTTTTTTTTAATTTAGAACTGGGCCAGGGATTTAGCTCAGTGGTTTTGCTGCCTGCTGCACAAGCGCAAGGACCCGAGTTCAATCCCCAGTACCAAAAAAAAAAAAATTTAGAATTAATCTGTGCCTCAAAATCAAACCTCTGCAGTATAGCCCAGTTCTCCAATTTCATACATTTAATTAGATCATGTGGTTTACTACTTGTGTGTGACACTGGCATTGGACCCAGGGCCTCACACATCGTAGGAAAGCCCTCTACCACTGAGCTGTATCTTCAGGACTTTTTCTTTTTTTTGTACCGGGGATCGAACTCGGGATCGAACTCGGGACCTTCCGCAGGCAGCCAGAACCACTGAGCTAAATCCCCTTAGGGCTTTTTATCTTATTTTGAGACAGCATCTCTAGGTTATCCAGGCTGGTCTCTAACCTATGAGCCTCCTGCCTCAGCTTTCCTAGTGGCTAGATTACAGCTGTGTGCCACTGCACCCAGAAATAATTTATATTTTTGCCACTGTATCTTTTGGATCGATTCTTAGAAATGGGATTGCTGGGCCAAAACTTATATATATGGTTTTATTTTAGTTAAACTTATCTCCCAAGTTTTATTTCTAAATATAGCAGTTGCAAAGAAAGCAGTGTTGCAGAACAGCATTACAACATACTATTTCAAAAACAATTTTTTTTCAAACAGGGTATCACTGTGTACTTCAGGCTGGCCTTAAACTGGTTGATTATTTTTTGGTTTTTGAGACAACCTCACTGTGAAGTCCAGGCTGGCTTCAAACTCATGGCAATCCTCCTGCCTCAGCCTCCTCAGTGCTGGGATTACAAGTCTACATCACCACATGAGAAACCAACCATCAAACAGGGCCTGTGGAGAGGGAAAGTGAATGGTTGTGGCCCAAGAGTAGGAGAGAGATTTTTCACTGAATGCCCTTTATAATTAATTTTTAAGATTTTGCCAGGTATGGTGGTGCACACCTATAATCCAAGCACTCTGGAAGCTAGGGCAGTGAGTTCGAGACCAGCATGGGCTACATAGCGAGTTCAAGGCCAATTTGAACTACACAGTGAGACCTTGTCTCAAAAATAGCAACAACAAAAATAAATAAATAAATTTGGGGCTCAATGGTAAAACATGTACTTATCATTCATGAGGCCCTGGGTTCAATCCCAAGCACCACCACCACCACCAAATAAATAAATACATTCTAACTCCTTAGAAAGAGAAGGAGGGGGACTCTGTCCTCTGAACCTTTTTGCACTGAGGAGTGATACGTGGCAGTACTTCAGCCAGCTCTCAACCGGACATGTCACACTGGTTTTTTGCTTCGTTTGGTTGATTATTTTTTGGTTTTTGAGACAACCTCACTGTGAAGTCCAGGCTGGCCTCAAACTCACAATCCTCCTGCTGGACCCCTGAAGGCCCGAGGCCAGCAGCGTGCACCAGAGGCCATTCCAAAGGGAAATCTGAAACTGATGTGGCACAGGGGCACATTTGCTCCCAGGGCCTTGATGCATCACTCAGTTCTCTGACCCACACAACCTCTACCTTGCTCATTCTGTTCAGTAAACACCTTTCTCAACAGAGACACTTTGAGGTGGTTTTTCTAGTTGCAGCTGATGCACCAAGTTTACTGTTTGCTCAGTTCAAAAACTCAGCCAGTCCAAAGCCAGCACACAGCCAAATACTAACCACATATTTGCTTGTCCTTTATCCCCTAAAAACAGGTGAGTCATGGATCCACTTATCAAATAAATAGAATAAAACTCAAAAATAACTCTGGGACATTTACCAAATGTCCCTCTTAAATGTGTGTGTGTGTGCGAGGGATCAAAACTAGGGTGGCCAGGGCATGCGTGCACGAGCCAGGTGCTCTACCACTGAGCTACTCCCCTAAGATGATAAGTTTTTGGTTTGGTTTGATCTTGTTTTTTGAGACAGGGTCCCCCCATGTAGTTCAGGCTGGTCTTTTTTTTTTTTTTTTTTTGGTACTGGGGATCGAACTCAGGACCTTGCGCTTGCGAGGCAGGCAGCACCACTGAGCTAAATCCCCAGCCCAGGCTGGTCTTGAACTCACAGCAGTCTTATTGCCTCAGCCTCCTGAGTGCTGGGACTACAGGCATGCACCACCAACCAAGCTGGCAATTTTTAAAAAATTAATTAGTGGAAAAATATTTCTACGATTTAATCTGTAGGAATAACAGAAACCCCTCAGGAGTGATACTGCATAGGAAAAAGGGAATCACAACATTTTTTAACCATCTCTGCTCATAATTCCACAGAATTGTCTCTTTATTAATGAAATGTCTTCTGGAATTTGGGACCTTCAGGAAAGATCACACTGTCAGCATGGCTGCTGCCTTGTCTTAGGTTCATTAGTAGGGTCTAATATGACTCTGTGTGTATAATTTTTCCCCTCAGAATTTTTCAAACTTGATTAAAAGAATTCTGGGGCTAGGTGAGGTGGAACACAACTGTAAACCAAACACTCGGGAGGCTGAGACAGGAGGATCACCATGAGTTCCAGCCCAGCCTGGGCTACATAGCGAGTTCAAGGCCAGCCTGAACTACATAGCAAGACCCTGTCTCAAAAACAAAAAAGAAAAAGAATAAAGAATTTTGTGTGTGTATTTTTGTACTTCTTTCTGCCTCAAAGCATGAGGTTTAATGCCTCATTTTATGGAGTTCACCAGTGCCAAGCATGAGCTCACTGTCTGGGGAAGCAAAGCTGCTGTGGGGGAAATGGCTTGCCTTGGCTGCCAGGGCCTCTGTCAGAAGAAACCCAGGCCCTGTCTGATTCCATCTGTCCGTGGCTGCTGGGAAGCGGCCTCCACCTGGGCCTTGACATTTTTGGCTTTAAGACAATGTTCCAAGGAACCCTTAGCCAGAGTCCATTTTCTAAAGCCCAGTTCCTTCCTGGCAGTTTAAATGGCTCAGGACAGTGCTGCCTTTTCAGGTGCCGCTGTCTTCCTGTGATAGAGCCAAAGCTGTCAGGGTGAGTCCACTTCGGCCCCCAGGGCACTGAGCTAGGAAGCAGCTTCCAAGCAGAAATCGAATGTGTGTGTGCTCCCTTGCAAGGGCTCCAGCAGCTCTTTCTACAGAAACTTAAGCCTTCATCCCAAGGGGATGGGTGGATGCAGAAAGAGCCAAGGAGGTGTTTTGGAGAAAGCATCTTTATTTTCCAGAAAGTTGAGTTCTTTTTATACCTCATATTGAGAAATAGTTGCCTTTCGCCTTTCACACATGAGAAACCCTTGAAACCTAAATGTGTCTACCAGGCTACGACTGACTTCCTGTAAGGCTGTCCAGGTGGATCCAAAGTAAATCTTATGCTGGGTATGGTGGCGCATGCCTGCAATCCCAGCGCTTGGGGATTGAGGCTGAGGCAGGAGGATCACTGTGAATTAGAGGCCAGCCTGGGATACCTAGTGAGTTTAAGGCCAGCCTGAACTACATAGCAAGACTCTGTCTCAAAAACACCAAAGTAAATCTTAAGTACATAGTACCTGTGGTCCAAAGTGTGAAGAAAATTCTGCTATGAGATACTTCA